ATCAGGAGTCTCTTTCCCTTCCTTGCTCCCTCCTCTTCTCTCTTCTATATATACTTCATATTTTCATATAGGCTCTCTCTGTAAGTAATGGCAAAGTATTGTTCCTTGTAGCTTTAGGCTTGCATTCTAACTACTTCGTCAACTGCAACAGGAAGAGACTACAACTTGAGCGAAAATTTCTCAGTTAAGTTATGATTTTCCTGGACTGTGCATGTGCCCATTTCTGAACCAAATATTCTGACCAGAAAATGGAATTCTCTGATTAGGACAAGTATCTGAAGGTTACGAAAAAAATTCATCATCCCTAAACTACAGGGAGAATGATAACTTCCCAAAAAGCAGGAAGAAAAGATGCTGGGCAGAGATGTCTGCTTCACAGTTAATTGTGAAGGATTCTGTGGATAATGCAACACTATTTTAATATGGAACTCATAATTACTTTCATAGAACTGGAGCATAATAATGCTCTAAACTTTGAAGATTCTTCATAGATGTGAAAAACAAGAGCTTAACGAGGGTATGACATCAAATCACATAGTTAATACACCTGCTGTTCGTAAGTAAGGACTCCTGAGTAAGAGATTCAAACTCATTCACATTTAGGTTCAAATCCTGGTTTTGAGTAAGATAATTACATGCAGTTAGACTGTTTTCTTATCCTTAAAATAGAGGTGATAACATCTTGTTGAGTTAGAGTTAGGAGTATATGTAAAATATTGGCAAATAATAACAGTACTGTTACATGTTGTCATTACAATAACAGCCATTTCTAAATCCATATAATAATTTTATTGTGATCATTCTGAAATACAGCTTTGTAGGCTTCAAGCAAACACTGATATGTTGAAACATCTACATTATTTTTAAGTGACAGAAAAGCACTGAAGTAGAAACTCACTTTGAGGGACAGACACTAGAATTAAATCCCGGGGTGCTTTATCACTGATTTAGTTTTTATCTTGAGACAACTCTTGCTTAGTTGTTTAGGGCATTGTTAAGTTGCTGATATTGGCATTGAACTTGTGATCCTCCTGCCTCCACTTCCTGAGTTGCTGGGATTACAGGCATGTACCACCATGCTTGGCTAGAAAATCACTCTTTAAACTTGAGTCAGATTGTGAATTTATCTTAGGGAAGGTGATCTGAGAGTATTGACACATAGAATATGAACAAATATTACACATCGTGTGTTGTGGTATTAAGGTGATAGTTTAGTCTGACAGTATTGTGGCAGTATTTATAGATTTAAAAGGTGTGTAATCTATGCTTTAAAGTCTCTTTCTTAAGAGTAATCACATAAGAGATTTAGATAAAATAAGGCTTAAAAATAAATGGTTGATTAAAGACAAATCAGAAAATGTAAGTCTCAAAAGAGGATGATGATATCTCAGTATCTGAGTAGACTTTAAAGCAAAAAGTGTATAATTGGATCAATCATGTCATTTTATATTAACACAGGATATACTCCACATATTAGCAGTTATGAACTTAATGGGTGCTATACTAACATTAAAATGTATCAAGCAAAAGGTGAATGAAATGGAAAAATTATTAAAAATTAATGACAGCAGAAGCCTTTAATATACTTCAAGAAGGCACACAATAAGATATGTGGGTGGTTTGAATAATGTGATAAAATTAGCCCAAAGAATGTATTTATTTTTCTGTCATCCACTAAATAGTTACCAAGATTAATAATTCATTAGTCCATCTACAAGAAACAAAAAACAAAACTCCCAAATAGAAATTATACAAGCCCCATTTCTTGATTATAATTTAGTTTTTTAAGTTTAGTTGAAGTTTATATGGAAATTTAAAACCATGTTCTTTTTTTTTTTTTAAAGAGAGAGTGAGAGAGGAGAGAGAGAGAGAGAGAGAGAATTTTTAATATTTATTTTTTAGTTCTCGGCAGACACAACATCTTTGTTGGTGTGTGGTGCTGAGGATCGAACCCGAGTCGCACGCATGCAAGGCGAGCGCGCTACCGCTTGAGCCACATCCCCAGCCCTAAAACCATGTTCTTAAACAATTTTTGAGTCAGTGAGGAAACCCAGATTCATTTTAGAGTTTTTAAGATTAATAACAAGAATTAACAAAGATAATATAATGAATTGGGAAACAGTAAACCATTTGAACTAATAAATCTAAACACTGACAATATGAAAATGCCAATAAAATCATTGTATCTCTCTTAAAGCCAATCAAGGGAAGACAGAAAAGATACATAAGCTTTTTAAGTATTAAAAAGGAGGTAGAATTATAGTGTGGAGGTGACATTAGAAAGGTTTCTGATGTTAGGAAATATGTAAAACTAAATAGGTGACTGCCTCCTTACTGTTACATCTTAATCTGATAAAAAGATTTTTTTTTTTTTTTGAAAGAGCAAACCAGAAAGTACAATTTAGGAGAAATCAAATAGTTTGACCAAAAGTAGGAGTAATTGTTGGCACAAGAGAATTGTGAGAGGTGAAAGTGGAAAAAGAGGTTGGGGCTCCATATTTATGTGATTGAATTATACTGTGTGATAAGTCCTTGTTTGGGTGGACACCAAGATACCATTTAATGTGAATTAATTTAATTTGAATTAATCAGCAATGTGATTATCTTATACTTTTATAAAATTAGTTCAATAGTGGTATGAAAGATAAATTGACTTCCTTTCTTCTGCCTAGACCTTTGCCATATTGCTGAGGTTCCTTAACTTCTCTATAACTCTGTGTATATCACTACTGATTCTGAGCTTTGTTTCCTTCCATAGCAGGAAGAACTATAGGGATTAAATGGATGTTATGAAGTTTGTAATTTAGATTTCAGCTGGTATTCACACATAAATTATTCGCTCAGTGATGACAACTAGTAAATTCATATATTCTTCACGTTTGCCTACCTCCTTTTGTTAAGGATTAACTGAATCTTGAAACACCTACATTATAGATGTACAGTCACTTGCTACTTGAGAAAACTTTAAAGCTCTGAAAACCCTTTATTATCGCATGCAAACCTGTGCCAAAGATGGAGATAAAGAAAAAAATATCTACCATCCATTAAGTCCCAACAAATGATAACTTTACAACTTGGTTTCTTATAGACTTGTACTGACTTTTTTTTACATTTATTTAATTTTTTGGCTAGATAATAAATTCACATGGTTCAAAAAAGTATCATTCCCATCTATATTCCATCTGTTATTTTCTCTGAGTTTATTTTGATAAACATGAATGACAGGGGCTGGGATTATAGCTCAGTGGTGTGAGGCACTGGGTTCAATCCTCAGCACTACATAAAAATTAAGATACTGTGTTCKTCTATAATTAAAAAGATATTTTAAAAAATGAATGACAAGTTGTTTAATGAAGTTGCATAAAATAATGTATTGATAAACCATCTGGAGCCTAAACATTTTTAAGTGCTAAGGACACTTTTTTACTGTTAATTTTTTAACACTTCTTCAAAATAGTGCTACTTTACTACTGTTCCTGTAAGAATACATACAAATAAAATTCCAGCTATCCCAGAATTATATCTTAACACAGGTAGACTTTATTAAACTTTAAGACTGTTAACTATATATCATTTGTAGTTTTTAGCTTGCTTTTGTTTAACTGCTTTGGTGTTTATTCTTCACAAAAATCCTGTTACGAAGGAAGGGTACACGATATTGTCCTCAGTTTCCTGAGGAAACAAATTGGGGTTTGTGTTTTGACTATGAGAATTCAAATAGAAGTCTTCTGACTATAAAATGTTTGTTCTTTACTGTAACCAAAATCTTAAATCACTTGTTCTGATTTCAAATGGTTTATATCCATTTTTCAACTGTGTGTGTATGTGTGTTTATAATAAAATCATGCTAACCTTTAAAAAAAACACTGATTCTATTATAGTAAGTATCTTCTTAAAAAATACTGATTGTATTATACTAGTGTGACATTCAGCATGTGTGTTTTTAAATTCACAAAAATGTGCTTTATATTTTTCATTGAAAAAGGGATATTTGTGTACAGAATTTTTTAACACATTGGGGAAGTTTAGGTGCTAATGATAACTTAAAAGAGAAATACTGTGAGAATTTTTCTTCTTGAATATACTTTAAAGAATGATTTTTCAATAAGTTTCTTCTATTATACTTAATGTTGTTTATTATTTTCCTTATATTTCTAAGTTGAATTTTTCCTTAAGTCACATTTGTAGTAGAAAAAAACTTAGATAAGCACTTTAATACCTCATTTATTCAGCTTCATTAGTGAACATATTATTGCATACATCAATTTTTTAAAAAATTCAGGTTCTCCTTTTAAATATGTTAATTATATTTAAAGCATTTTTAATACTTGGTATTTTCTAAAACATTTTATACTCTCCTTGCTTCTCCAACAAAGAGATGTATGGGACAGAGACATCTTTAAGTAACTTTGTTAGTGGACTATTGGATTCGTTTATGTAAACTGAATACTCCTATTTTTTTTTCCTGCTCTAAAGCCAATGTTTCTTTTTCCTATTGCTTTGTCTGCCTCTTAAAAGGTAGTTTGCATTATCTAATCTGCTGATTCTGATATACTTTTTCTTGGAAAAATTTGTGAGGAATTGTGTGTTTAATAAGAGTCCATAAATCCTTGTGGGATATATTGGTATAAAGAACATAGCTATAATGCTGAGAGGGCTTTGACAATTATTTTTGGATATGCAGTGACCTTTGCTAATTGGATCAGGATCAGAGCATATTTGTGAGTTTTGAATAAATGAGGTGTTATTGTATTTGAAGGAAGTAAAGTTATTCAGATATTTTTCTTTGTATTGATGTTCTGATTTACTCTGTTATTGAACTGGATTTAAGTATTAATTATTTAAGGTCAACTTTTTTATATGTATATGTTTTCCAATGGGTACAACCCAGTTACCATAGCAGCTTAGTAGAATAACTATAATGGAACTTTCCATTTGAATTTGGCTTTTCTCTTTCTTTTTTCTCTGTTTCTCTATTTTTTTTTTTTTCTATCCACCAGGGAGTAACTATTCCCAGTCAGAGGCGCTATGTGTATTATTATAGCTACCTGTTAAAGAATYATCTGGATTATAGACCAGTGGCACTGTTGTTTCACAAGATGATGTTTGAAACTATTCCAATGTTCAGTGGCGGAACTTGCAGTAAGTCTCTAAATTCTCTCATCCTTTTATGTTTTGGAATACTTTTCTTAACACATGCAGAAGTGTATATAAAAATTTAGAAAGAAATTTACCACATTGAAAATTTTATGCAAACGAGTTTATTTCTGAAGTATCCAAATTAATTGGCTCTGTTGTTCATCTCCTTGGACTGAGTAGCCAAGAACAGTGGGTTTTAATGTTTTTGAAGTCAAATTGTATTTTATTAAGGAAGTATTTTGTGTTACAACCACCAAATGGAGCTTAAATTCTGAGCAGATGACTGAAAAACCTATCTCATAGAGGTTCAACATAAGAGTGACAATGAGATTCATCAGTTTATGATCTTGGGGCAGGGACTAATTCTTTCATCTTAAGAATTTTAGATATTTACATTTATGGTGACAGAACAATGAAAAGGAAAGGAAAGTGATAGGACTTGGCAACAAGCTCAAGTATAATGAGTAGGGGTGGGGTGGGGAAGACTGAGTCAGAGTATGTAAAGTGAGGAAGAATACCTGGATTCAGATGTGAGTTCCAATCGTAGCTCAGTCATTAATGCACAACCCTGGTCATACCATCTACCCTTCTTTGAGTTTTCTCATCAAATAAAATACAGAGATTTTAAAATCTGGAACTCCTAAATAAATACTAAGTGTAAATAATGTCCTGATGTCTGCTTCTAGTTTATTTATCTTTTATCCTAACCTTTGTAAGCCTACCTCATCCATCCCTATCCTATTCTGCTTCTCTGCTATTCTTGGCTAGAGTTCTTAGCTAGACTGATGGGAAGCTTACTACCTGGATCAAGAGACTCGTAACGGTTTTTAATCCTGGAACTTAAATACAACCTGGAAGTGGTCAGTCATATTTTCATGTTCAAAAATATATTTTATTAGTATTTAGAGGACAATTATGTGGTTTCTAGATAAGATACCACTTTATTATTTCTTTTAACAACTCTAATATTATTTCAGTGATATTTTGCAATGTTAGTGGTTTTAGCTTTTTTTTTTTTTTTTTTGGTGGTACCTGGGATTGAACCCAGAGGCATTTAACCACTGAGCTGTATCCACAGTCTTTTTAAAATATTTTATTCAGAGACAGGGTCTTGCTGTCTCTTAAGTTGCTGAGTCTGGCTTTCAACTTGAGATCCCTTACCACAGTCTTCTGAGCTACTGGAACTACAGGTGTACGCTGCTACACCTGGCTAGGTTTCTAGCTTTAAGCTTTGTTTCTTGAAAATATTTGTTTAAATTAAACATATTTTGTCCTAAATTAATTTGTACCTAGAAAATTACTTCCTTAATTTTTTTTCTTTTTTAATGTTTGACAAGTAGATGGGATTATCTACCAGATCTTTCCTGTTTAAGAGCAAGGCAACTTTATCAAAGACCACAGATAGGCTTCTTAAGAACTGCATTGATTTTTTTTTTTTTTTAAATCTCAGTATAATTTTTAAAACTGTTGAGTGCAAGGCACTGGGGTGTTTAAGGTGATTAATGTAGGGACTTAGCAGAATCAGAGGAAAGGAAAAGGAAGAAAATAAACTTCCTATAGGGTAGATTTTAAGAGCCAAATGAAAGGTTTTATGGAGATAATGAGAAAAAGAGAGAACATTCAGTTCAGTAATCATTAGTATAATTTTTTTACATTGACCTCTCTAGCAAATTTTTTTTTCATTTCTACTTTGCCTGCCCATATTTAAACCCTCTCACAGCATTACATTTCTAGACTTAAAATTATTAACTACTGAAATATTTCTAAATTTTTTGTGATATTCTGGTTTCTTGTTTATATACTGATTTAATTCTGTGTATTAAAATACAGTTAATATAGTGTTAAATTGGAGGCTTTATTTATAAATTATTAATGTATTTTTCACAAAAAGAAAGTTTGGAAACTGTCAACACATTTTTATGAAAGAAGTCCTTCAGCCTGCGTGTGGGCAAACTTTTTTTTTTGGTCTCTCATTTTTTTAGTTACTGGTGCTTGAACTCAGGAGCACTTTACCAATGAGCTACATCCCCAGTCTTTTTTATTTTTTTTTTTATTTTGAGACAGGCCTGTATAAGTTACTGAGACTAACCTCAAACTTGATATCCTCCTGTCTTAGCCTCCAGAGTTGCTGGGATTATATAGGTGTGTGCTACTGTGCCTGGCAGTTCACCAGTTCTTTATTGAATATTGGGGAAAGCATGTAGTTTAGGTTGGCATTAAATCTGAAGAAAGTATTGCAGGTAATAGGAAATAGCTTTGAACTAAAGCACATCAGAAGGAAGTGAACTGGATGAGAAGTGTAAAGAGCATAGAATAGGAATGGAATGTCTGAGTTAGAGAGTCTTGAAGGGGATTTCAGGCTTGGTTTGATAAATATAGTGTTACAATAGTATGAGAGATTTAAACCATGTTTTTCGGATAGTTGTATAGAAAGTTGTGATTGAAGAAGGCAAAAGTCTTATGCCAGATGTGCTAGAGTAAGCAAATGGGTGTTTATTTTTTTCTTTGCTATTGATATACAAAGATTTTCATCAAAGTTTCAGTCCTGCTCATGTAGATGATTCACAGGAAGGAGAAGAAAGAAAAGTGAGTCTGAGATTAATTTTTGGTTTCAAACATGTTTTAAATCTGATGAAAGTGAATTTTTCACATGGAGATATTCAGTGACTACTGGGATTTAGGTTCAGATGGAGGCGAGAGACATCTGGTATTTTGGGATGCATAAAGATAAGACTTCTGAAACGTTTTCATGTAAATATGTTGTGGAGTTAGGAATAGGAAGACTTGGAGTAAAGCAAAGGATGAGGACTGAGATGATGAGTGGCAACTTGGGTTCAGGAAGAAGAAGGGAATCAGTGAAGAAAGCTGGTGGTGAAAAGTAATCTGCAAAGTTGTCAGGGGTTAGCAACCATTTTCTTACTTACTTTAATATTTTGAAATGAAGGGAAAGTTACTGTTTTGTTTTCTAAAAGGGTTAAGAATGTTAATAAAGTTGGCCGATGTGGGTTTCTGTCTCTGCACATACACATATCTATACCTATAAATCTAGGAAATTTTAAATTTGATTTTTATTTACTCTAGGTATGGCTCATCATTTCCTTAGAACAGTCAATCATATCAAAGAATATGTATTAAAATGGTGTCTTAAAAGACCACACTAATGTTAGACTAATGATAAGTTAGGCTTTATCTAAAATGTGAAATTCATATTGTATTTTCTTTAATGATTTGAGGAAACTTACTAATTTTTGGTACTGAAATTGAACCCAGGGTACTTCACCTCTGAGCTACATCTCCAGCTCTTTAAGCATGTACCACCATACCTGGCAAACTTATTAATTTTTGTTTTGTTTTGATATCTGAGATTGAACACAGGGTCACTCAACCACTGAGCCACATAGCCAGCCCTATTTTGTATATTATTTAGAGACAGGGCCTCACTGAGTTGCTTAGCACCTTGCTTTTTTTCATGACCCTCCTACCTCAGCCTCCCGAGCCGCTGGGATTATAGGAGTGCACCACTGCGTCCGACACCAACTTATTAATTTTTAGTAAAACATTTTAAGCCTAGCTTATAGAGGAAATTCTGCATAATGCCAATTTGTAATTAGCTTGTGAATTGTTTGTAACAATTCTCAAGTTCTTGAAAATGTGCATTTCAGATGTAGTTTCTTTGAAATCTGGCTTATACTGTCAGTTTTCTTTTTCAAATCCTAAAATCAGTATTACCAGATTCTGAATTAGTAGGATTTAAATTAATAAGATTATAAAACATTTTCATCTTGACTAATTTATCACAGCTTTGAAGTCATAACTTGGTCTTTTGCTTTATTCAAGCTAGATTTCCCATGAAAATTTCAGTATCACATAAAGACTTGTAAAATGGTTCCCTATACTTTGAACCTTAGTCAACGGAGTGGAATTTATTGACAGGTTATTGGTGTAGCATTTCCCCTTTTTGGGGTGGCCTTTCCTCATGATATGTGTCTTAACAAATCCATGTTAGAATAACCCCATACACTTTTAGCAAACATTTATGAGTATTAATTAAATGGAAATTTCATTCAGCTTCGTTTGACTTTTTGCCTCATTTGCAGTCTTGGGTCACATTGATAAATCTGAAACTTTTTTTTTTCCTTGAAGGATAATAGTGCCTTTTGAGGTGCTGAGGATTTTAACTGATATATACATATATATGTACACACATACACATACATACACATATACAACATTTATATATTTCTCATATGCTATATGCAAGCTCTTTTTTCTGTTTATTGTCTTGTCATGTTTCCTTTGAGACTTTATTATCTCCTAAGATTAACCAATGGACTTAAAAAAAATTATTCAGTATACTACAAATAAATAATGCCTCAAATGAATTGGCAAGTTATTTAATTTGAAGTTTTTAAAGTTGTAGCATTTTAACATTAATGAATCTTTCATTTCTGTCACTGAAGTTATTAGATGTAAATGAACTTTTGAGTAGAATTTTAAAATAAAACAAAAATCTCTTCCATACTGTATCACCTTTTTAGTTAAATTGCTAACATAAAAGTAGGATGAATTTTGAGAAGTTATACTTTACCAACTATTTAAAAACAGATACAGCCCAAAGTCAAAATGGTTATTAATTGTGTTTTGAAGGGAAGGGAGGTTTATGCTGCAATTTACACTTGCGATCATTTCTTAGCAGACATCTCAAATCATTTCCTCTTTCTCATGGTGGTGACTTTATATACTTTTAAAATGAAATGTGGGCTAGAGGTTAAATAAAAAAAGAATGATGGGTAATATTTTCATAAATACTAGGTCTTATGCTTGAGGAATTTATTATGACTTTGTTATAGGTTATATATTCTTTCCTCTTGCGAACATGTAATTTTATTTTGTGATTTTTGGCACAGGCTAGAGCCTTCACAACACCAAAGGAAATGTTTTAAAAGTTACCATATGTAATTCACAAATATTCCAGAAAACTATTAAAATTAATTTTCTACTTTATATTAAGATTTTTAGCATAATTTAAAAGTCAAGTCTTGATGTTAATATATTGCTAGATATCTATTTTTGGGACTGGTTCATGAGACAGGAATTGACTGTCCTACCAGTGGAACCTTATTTTATAGATTGAAATCATAGAAAACCATACCTTGATTATGTCATTGACTTCATTTATTTCCACTATTTCGTTTTAGTCAGGATTACAGATGCATAGTTACCATTTTGATTATATTGCTGATAATTGATCATTAAAATAGCTTTTGGCAGTTGAAGGCATTTCCTGTGAAGTAAAATAGTATGTATTTAACCATGCAGATCCTCAGTTTGTGGTCTGCCAGCTAAAGGTGAAGATATATTCCTCCAATTCAGGACCCACACGACGGGAAGACAAGTTCATGTACTTTGAGTTCCCTCAGCCATTGCCTGTGTGTGGTGACATCAAAGTAGAGTTCTTCCACAAACAGAACAAGATGCTAAAAAAGGTTTGCACTTTACTTTTTTGGGGGAAATTATCAAAATAGCCATACCTGTAAGAGTAGCCCTGGATCTTTTATTTAAAGCCTTTAGTTAGGCAGAAGTCATTCAATAAAGAGAGATTGGTTAAAAGCTGTATTTTATTTTATGATGAACATTTAATTAACTGTGGTTAGCTTTCTTAAACATAGTTAAATATACAGATGCTTACTTACTTTCTTTTGGTGTTAATGGAACATCACAATGGTAAATAATCTTGTTAAAAAGAAAACTATATGACATTGTAACACGAAATTAATTTTTCTTAACTTGGTTTATGCAAAGAAGTTTTGTAAAAATGTTAGATTGTGTACATACTCCCATTCAGTCACTTATAATCCCCTTTTAAAAGATGGTGAATTAACTGAGAAGAAATTAGCATGGGACCATAGGTTTAAAAAATGCTAGACTTATAGACAGCAATAAGATCTTTTCTGTGGTCTTGTGTACTGACACAAGCCACTTTTCCCCATTTTATGTTTCTTGAGAATTGGTTGCTTTATTTTTAGTTTTCCCAGATTCACTAAATATTTAGCCTTTTAACTAGGAGAGAAATAGTTATGGAGAGGAAATAATAAGGAATGAAAAAAATGTGGTATTTAAATATGCAGGTTTAGAAAGTGAGGTTTGTGTTTTACTAAGCTGTATTTAGAGAAGGCAGAGAAGGCAAGAGCTCGATTATAAAATAAACTATCTTGGTTTAAAATATTAAGTGTGGACATTAAAAGTGAGCTTAAAGTGCAAAATTTTTAGGTAGTAATGGGAAAAAAGCACTGATTTTGTGTGGTGTTGCTGCCTCATTAATCATACTAGATATATAAACAGTACTATTTTTTAGACATGTCAGATTGATTTAGTTTTCTCAATTTTTAGTTTTTCTTTTGAAAGAAAATAAGAGGAAGTTTCATTTATTACTAAAAATTTTAACACTGTTCTGACTTATCAGAAATGTTATTTCCTTTATTCAGAATTCAAGTAGTTAGAAAAAAAAATCACTGAATATTAAAGTGATATTTTTCACCAGAAATACATTTTTTACTCTTGTGTTTAAATAAAAATTAAATATATCTCAGTAGCTTTGAAATAATAATTTTTGGGAATCCAGAAAGTGTTAGCAAATGCTTCAAAATCAAGATAATTAGTAAGCTATGGGTTTTTGTGGTTTTTTTTTCCTCTCTTGTACTTTATAAGACTCTGACATACATAATACACATAAAATTTTATATTTTGCTCTTAAAAACACACACCTGCTTCACCATTTCTTTGTACTTGTAGGAAGGTGTTAACTTTAATTTTAGTTCTTCTGTACTTCACACTTAGCACATAAAATTGAAGATTAAATATTTATATTTTAGTATGTCTTGGATTACTTTACATTAGTTTCAAATTCTACATGATTTTCCCTGTCTTATTTAACTGTCTGCTCTGATTTAAACAAAAAACAGTTTTAGTATAATCAGTACATATTAGAAATCCACATTTTTGGAAATTTAAATATTATTAATTAGCTTATTTTCTTCTAAGTAAAATATAATTCCTAACTTGTGACTTTGCTAAAATAATTGTAATTAACAAGTTTTTAAAAATATTTTATTTTTTAGTTATAGTTGGACACAATACCTTTATTTCACTTATTTATTTTTATGTGGTGCTGAGGATTGAACCCAGGGTCCCATATGTGCGAGCTGAGTGCCCTACTGCTAAGCCACAACCCCAGCCCTGTAATTAACAATTTTTAAAAGGACTTGTCATGTATAAGATTATCTTGCTAGGTAGGTATATTATGAGTTAGAAAGAAATTTAAGATCCTTAAAGAGTCTTAGCATCTTCTTGAGGAAAAAACAAAAATTTCAAGGTAAATTAAAATAGAAAGTTTATATGGCAGTGTGAGGCACCAGATAAGATGCCACAAGGCTTTACATCATTAACTGTCAAATGACCATACAAGCTTAACTTTTATGTTGGTAACCTCCCCCACTCCCATTTTATTATGAAAGTTTTCAGGCATACATTTTCATAGAAGAAAATGGAGTCAGTTAGATTTAAATATTGATTTAGAAGTAAAAATGYATGTGCCATGCTTCATGAGGGAAGTACCTCACAAGAACTTTTATGAAAAATATCTGAGTTTTGTTTATACCTACAAATGCATAAACTCAAAAACATTTTTAACCCATTTTGTCCCATCATCCCAGATGCAGAATACCTATAAAAACTTGCATATATATTCTGAATTATATGTAATATATAATAGAATTATATAATATATAGCAGACTTAGGTAATTATAATAGAATTATAATTATATTAACTGATATTAGTTAACACATGTATAATTTCTAGATTGTGATTTCCAACATATTTATTTATTTATTTTTTGGGCGATGCTGGGGATTGAACCCAGGGCCTAGTGAGGCATGCACTCTACCAACTGAACTATATCCCCAGCCCCTGATTTCCAACTTATTTTAATGTACCTGTGTCGATGCAGAATTGAAAATTTGTGATTTAATGGGTTAAAGCTAGTATTGGACTAAAAAGGAATATTTTACTTATAATTTTAAGACAAAAGTAAGTTATCTCTGATCTTATGAGATTATATTTTTGAACTAAAATTTTGAAAGAAAAATTCTCATAAATGTAAATGCAGCAGATAACCCACAGATTGTATTTACCTTTATTTGAAATATCGAATGTATATAGTTTAATTTGTTGACTTCTTGGGGCAAGTATTTACAGGTGACATTTAAAAAAAATTAGTAATTTGTTTCTTTTATTTTCATAGGATAAAATGTTTCATTTTTGGGTAAATACGTTCTTCATACCAGGACCAGAGGAAACCTCAGAAAGAGTAGAAAATGGAAGTCTATGTGATCAAGAAATCGATAGTATTTGCAGTATAGAACGTGCAGATAATGACAAGGAATATCTAGTACTTACTTTAACAAAAAATGATCTTGACAAAGCAAATAAAGACAAGGCCAACCGATATTTTTCTCCAAATTTTAAGGTCAGTTAAAAGCATTGGGATGTATTGGTGAAGACATGCATGCATCCGTGTGTGTGTGTGTGTGTGTGTGTGTGTGTGTGTGTGTGTGTGTGTGTTTTGTCCTCTAGGGTAAAGAACTGAAGAACTTATCTTGACTCATTTTTAAACTAAATTATTCATTACTTAGAAGTATATCCCATCTGACTCAAATGTATGATGTCAAGGTCATTGTACTGTCATGTGTAACTAATTAAAACAAATTAAAAAAAAAAGAAGTAGTGTTTATGTAGCAATAACCTACAAGTTTATAATGAAATACTATTATGCACACAGACTAAAAAAAGCTCCGTTTTTCCTTAGCATATTCTTTTTCATTGTTATTTGATGAAATCTGGGGTAGACGTGTAGAAGAAGAGTTAGGTGAGTGGGATATGAAGTAAGAATTGAGGAATAAAGAAATGAATAGAAGCTCAGGCATTTGGGAATGATTTTTAGATAATTTTTATTGGTGCATCGTAATTATATATAATAGTGGGATTCATTGTGACATATTCATACATGCACATAATTTGGTCAATTTAGAAAATAAATTGTGTAGAATGTTTTCACCACTTCCACTCTTGTCTCCCCTTCAATTTATTTTCAAGTCTTCAGAATAGATTTGATTGTTTCACTATTATTAACGTTTTTTAAAGACCTTGTAGGTACTATAAAGACCCATATGATTTAGCACAGACCTACCTCCCATCTCAGTTCTAGCTACGTTCTCTGTTTGTTCCCCAAAATTTAGCCACACTAGTCTTGCTTCAGTTCTGCAGAATGCAACACTTCTGCCTCTACTGTTTACAGTTTTATTCTTTCTTCCTCTACCTCTCTTCCCTACCCTTTCCCCCGACCCTTATATGTCTCCTGACTTCTCATGTTTCCAGCTTTAATTTCAGTCTCATCTGCTCTGTAAAGCCCTTTCTGATTGTCCTCCCTTGTTATTCCCTTTTTAAAATTATTTCTATTTCCACATGTATGTCTTGCAATTGTTTGGCTTCATTTTAATTTTTGTCTATATGAGATAGGGGTGTATTTCTATTTATAGACAAGAATTCTTCAGATTAAGAAAATTGATTTGTGAACATTGAATGGTTGTTTGCCATTTTCTTCCATTTCTTATTCTACTTTTTTTTTTATCTTTTAGCATATCTTGTTTTCTTTTATGTATTTTTCATTGTAACAAATCTAACAATAGCTTATAAACACATTACTAGTAATACTTAAAATGGAGAGGGAGATCTACATGTTCATAAGTGAAAAGAGATCTAACATTAAACACCTTTTAATCTGTGTTTAAAAGTTTCCTTTAGAATTCACAGGTTTCCATCTCCTTTCTTTTCTCTAAATCTGAATTTTCCTCAACAATTAGACTTTAAAATATCTTTCTACTTTTATTGTTTTCTCTTTTAACATTACCGAAAGTTTTATATTTGTGATTGCAAATAAAAACTATTTTAGTTGTCAGTGCATAGTTAACAATGTTATACATGGTAAGTGCTATGAAAAATAGAGACGGGAGTAATCTTGTCATTTTTTTTTTAAACCTATGATAGCTAGAGAATGCCTGATCAAGTGAATGACATTTAAGTAGAGGCATAAATGAGATGAGTGAGTTATACAAATATCTGGGAAAAAAGGGAAGTATAGATCAATGCAAAAGCCCTGAGATAGGAATAAGTTTAGTATATTTGAGTAACATTAGTCATTTTGACCAAAGAAAGTGGATGAGAAAACCCGTCCTAGGGTGGAGACATTATGTTTTCAGCATAAGAAAGATATAATCTGAATTTTGTCTTTGAGTGGAAGCTAGGAAATCAGTTAAGAGGCTGTTGGCAGTGGTTTAAAACATTCAGGTGAGAGATGGTTGCTTGGATGAGAATAGTGGCAGGGAGGGGTAATGAAACTGTCAGATTGGGTATATGTGGTATTTTAAAGATAGAACTTAAAGGATTTACTGATGAAATGGATGTTGGTTGTTATAAAAAGAAGAATTGATAATGACTCTTGAATAATAGAGGAGAGGCTATAGATACCACAGAATAAGCAGGGGATTAAGATCCCACATCTATTGTCTACCAGATATGTTTCCCATTAAAATGGAAATACCTAATATATCAGCGGTTTTTGAACAATTATTTTAACTACGCATATAAAGGCCATTGACCCACTGTTTAGGCCACTATATGGTCTGTGTTAATTTCCTTCTCCTCAATTTAGGCGAAATTTTTAGGGTTGTATGCATCATTGAATCACTATGTATGTTTGTATAGTATGGTTAGTATCAGAAAATATATTGAGTTTTAGACAGGTAATGAGAGAAACATTCTTTCAGAATTGAGCCATTTGTGAATTGAACTTTGTGACTGAAAAATTACATTATGTGAATACTGGATGATCTTCAATCTGCATTTCTTTGTAGGATTATTTAGTTAGTGCTTATAGCTTATGTATCTTAAAAAATATTTTATTAACATCCCAGTTTGTCTTTTCAGTATTTAGCAGGAAAGAATATGTAGGAACTCTAAATAAGAAGAGGGTTATTTGAAAGGCAATTGCTCTTTAAAGATATGTTTGTTATAGTATTTTAAAATGCATCTGTTAAAATATACGTCTTTGTAAGTAACTTAAAATTAGTCATAATAATGGATTTTCATTTTTAATTTTCTTTTTCTAGGTGAAACTGTATTTTACAAAAACAGTAGAGGAGCCATCAAATCCAGAGGCTAGCAGTTCAACTTCTGTAACACCGGATGTTAGTGACAATGAACCTGATCATTATAGATATTCTGACACCACTGACTCTGATCCAGAGAATGAACCTTTTGATGAAGATCAGCATAC